ATATTATTATGCTAAAAAATCTTCAATTCTAACGCAGGTAGAGACTTAGGATATTTATATGCTTTTACTATATATACGTAGATACATTGATATTTTAAGCATTGGTTAAAAGTGTATGTTGTGCATTAATTAAAATGATTTTTGGATAAGTCTAAACTTAAATTCTTCAACTTCATGTCTTTAATGCATGCATATTAAATAAATTCTTTTATTAGTCTAAATGTTAGTATATGTTATGTAGTTTACCATGTTATAATCTTTTTTGGCTATAATTATTCTCTTAAAATGTTTAATTTTATTTGTAAATTTTTGAACTTACATTTTCAGTGACCACACGTTGTTTAATCCATTCATTTTCTAGACTAGTTTCCAATGAAACTGAGTCCATACAACGTCTGCGGCAGTAGTTTCTTGCACTCAACCAATCTTCTTCAACTCCCTTAAGGTTAGGGTCACGCCATGAGAAGAAGTAACTAAAATATGTTATAAAATAAATTAAATTTAATATAAAATTGAAATAAAAATAAATGAAAAGAAGTAGAGAACTTTTAATTTATCTTGACTATAATGATCGTTGTGATTCATTCAGCACTGCTCTTATCTATATATTTTATTTACCTCAAATATATAAACGTTTTAAAGAGTTATTAGTTTTCCTGAGCAATTAGCGATAATAAAAAATTAGTTTTAGTTTGAAAAATTCATTAATTGAAATTTGGAAATAAAATTTAGCTTTCCATATTTTAAGATGATATTTTTATTAAAAATGTTAGTTATTTTAATAATTATTGTTCTGAAGACAAATAAAAACAAAACGCAAAAAAATAATAAAAAGTATATATTTTTTAATTTCTCAGTATAACTTCTTTGGTTTAAGACTAAACATCTAAATAATAAATTATATTTATTAAGATATTAATAAATAATTTGGATAAGTAATTTTTTTAATATTAAATAAATCTGTATTATATTTGTGCAATTATAATTAATAATCTCAATTATTAAAAATGGCTAAAAGTTAAAAAAATTTGCAATTGATTTATTAGGTGTATATTATTTTTTTAAGTTTTTTTTATATTATTTTTCAATTAAATTTATTGTATGCATAATCTTATGAATAAATAATAATATTTTTAAAATAAATATACATACAAAGTTAAAATGTTAATAACATATACATACAAAATGTTAATATATAATTTCTAAGGACAGATATATGCGAATCATACAGTTATAGTCAACTTTCATAGTAAATATAAAAAATGTAGAGGTTTTATATTTAAAAGAAAAAATATAGATATATTGAAAAATATACAATATATTAAAATATTAAATATTGAAAATCTCTGCATTATATTCGTAAAGTATTTTTTATATTTCCTAAAGCATAAAGATTTTTTTTAAGAAAAATAAAAATACTTATTACTTAGATATTTTTATGATATCTCAACTATAGCTAAAAAGAATGTTTACGTTTATTTATATTTCTATTTGTAAATATAATATAATTAATTTAATATTTTATCTACAAAAAAAATAAAAAAAAATTGTATAGGTTTTATATCTAAAGAATGGAACTTTATCTAAATAGTATCCATTTAGATAATTATTCTATGGTTTATCTATGGTTTAAGAAATTTTCTTATTTGATTATATTTAAAAAAAGGTGCTAAAGTAAAATTTGTTCCAAAAATTTGCAATCAAAAAGCCAAAAAATTATGGAAAAAACTTTATTATTGAAACCTGACTCCCACACGAATGTAAAAGTTATAGATTCTTATTTGGAAAATATGATTCAAATGCCATTTTTAAAAATTTTCAAAGTTTTTTATATTTTATCAATACATCAAGTTCATAACACGTAAAGAATAATTTATAATCAAGCCTTATTTGTATCACGTATCCATATTTTACTTTGAATCACTACCGTGAGCACCCACACTCAAAGAAATTATAATATATAAATTTAAAAACCTTCTAAAGAAATGTTTAAAGTAGCTCTTTTAATAGACCCATAGTAGCAAACTATTTCTGATATTTACTAAGCCCCTTCTTAGAATCATTAAATAAATTGCTTCCAGGTTGGTTACTATTTTCCTTATAGTTTATATACTTTCGATATTATATTAAAAATTTGGAAATTATTTTTAATAATTTATAAAAATATATAAATAAAATTTGTAAATTAATAAAAAATACGTAAATGTTAAAAATGTAAATAAATTAAATTTTTTTAAGTAAATTTAGTTATTTAGTATTCATATTTTATTCAAATGAAAATGTCGTAAATAATTCTTTAGTTACTAGTTATTATTCATATTAATTATAAATAAATCTAATAAAAATAATTTATTTTCATTTTTAAAATTTTGTATCTTTTTTATTCAGCTTTTATATACTTTTTAGATCACTTTTTTCTTAACTTTTATTATATTAAAAAAAATATTACGAAAACTGGTAAAAAAAATACATTTAAACAACTAATATATATATGGGTTGATAGCAATGTATATAAAAATATTAATTTTATTTGTAATTAAAAAGCAGAAAATAATAAATTAGTACATATGTATATATATAATAATAGAAAATATTAGAATAGAATAGAATATTATGGAATATTTTTTTATTATACATTTTATATTTTTATTATTTTATAAGAAAATAAATTTTAAATATTATAATAAAAAAAAATTTAAATATTATATTTAAATATATTTAAATATAAAACTTTATATTAATATAATAATAATAATATAATAATAATAATATAATAATAATATAATATAATAATTGATAATGTTTTTAAATAATAAAATGTAAATAAACAATTGTTATGAAAATAAGAATATTCAATATAAAAATTATTTTTATATTACAATATGTTGAAGACTATAATGTTTAGATAAAACTGAAAACTTGAAATAACATTGCAAAAAAAAAACTTTTTGTATATTGCATTTTTTTATAAATATATTTCAAAATAACAAACAGAAACTTTAATATTTATATATGGTATATTTGTATATATTACATTAAATATTAAATAAATAAAATATAAATAATAATATAAAAACTATTTTTATATTACAATATGTAGAAAAATATATTGTTTAAATAAAATTGAAAAAGTAAAATAATATTAAATAAAAAATTTTTTGTATTCTGCATTTTTTTTATAAAAAACAGAAACTTAAATATTTATTTACATTCGTTTGTATTATGTTAAATATAATTAATATTGTCAATAATATATGTAATAGTAGAAAAAAATATTTTACAATTATACCTCTCATTTAAAATATTAAATACCAAATAATTTCTTTAAATATAAATCTACACTTATTTTTTTTTCAAACTAATAAATTATTTTAACTTCAAGAAAAATAGACTCTTGAGAAAATTATTAAGCTTTGCAGAATACAATATACAATTATTTATAATACAACAATATATATATAATATTATTTAATAAATATAATATATATATATATATATATAATATATTAATTTTTAATTCATATGAAACTAATAAAATTGCAGTTTTTCTCAAAACCTTTAGTAATCTTATAAGAACCCTTAGAGAAAGTATTTTTTATAGAATTTTGGAATAGACTTTGTAAACTCTTTAAAACGATTTATTTGTTAAATATATTAAATAAACAGACAGTTCACATTACTCACCCTTTGCCATCGGGTGTCTTCTCGTGTATAATCCTTTGTGCACACAGTTGTGGATTTGGTGGATCCAATACACGCCCATTTGAGAACTGTGCCAAGCCAGCGCTTAGAACACTGAATAAACAAACACTTGCCAACACAAAGGCTTTCATTTTGCTTAGTAATAGTTTTATTTGCACTTTTCGGTAGAAATTATTTAGTTTGAATTTTGAATTAATGTGTTAAACACTTTCGTTTTCGTTTAGTTTAAAAGTAATTCACACAGCACACTTTTCGTCACCGCCTTGCCAACGTCTCAACGCAACGACCGAAATTATTGAAATGACATGGAATTTTTTATGCCACCCCGCTTTATATATGCAGCGACTCAAAGTCAAGTTGAGCGCGTTTAAGAAATTTCAATTTGTTTGGCTTATGCGATTGAGTCAAAGTTTGAGTTAATTTTACTTTTTTTTTTGTTTAAATTTATTTATTTATTTTTTTTTTGTTGTCAGATACAATGCAGTTTTTTACGCTTTTTAAAATAATATTTTTTATTTTTATTATTTTTTTTTTTAATTTACAAAAATAAAATATGTACAACGCACTTTGGTGCTGCGTCTACGTGCTTTAGTATTTCGCATTTGGTTTGCTGGTTTAATGATTTTTTTATTATTTTTTTTAGTTAATCAATATTAATATTAAATTCATAAATTCACAAAACAAATACATGAGAAGAAGCCATCTTATTGAAATGTACTTACTTACCGTATAAGCCCAGAAAGGAAAACCCCATTAATCCCATTAATTTTGGCATACTTGCGTTTTTTTTCCTGCTGCACAGCTTTTAAACTGCTTTTTTTTTTAATTTTTTCATATAATACTACACATTACATACCATTTTAAAACTGTTTAATTAAGTCAGGAATACTTTAAACCATTTTATTTTATTTTATTTATTTTTTTTTTGATATCCAAAAGAGTTAAGTAATTATGATGAAAAATATTGTTTAAGCCGGAAGATTTTCCTGAAGTGATTTTTGTTTGGCAAATACTCGCATCTTCAGATTTGCCGTATTCGGATTTAGTTTTTAAATTTTCAATGTGGTTTACTTTGCTTTTGTTTTATTATTAATTTTTTTTTTTTGCATATATTATATTGTTACTATAGATACTCTTTTCTTTTTTTACTACCTTTTAAGTATATTGTCACTTCGCAGCTGCATTCCGCGGCAGTTATCTTGCATTTAGTGATGTAATTTTTAATATTTACTAAAGCCTTTAGTGTTTACTTTTCATTTATATTTTCAAGCAATTTCGAAATCATTTATGCAATTTTATTATTTATTAATTAAATATTAAAATAATAAAATATTATTGTTGCGATTTACTATAGTTTAAATTAAGAACTTAATTTCTTCCGTCAAAACGGACATTGGAAAACAATTGAACACAATAAATATTAATATTAATATTTATTAATATTAATAATAATAATATTAATATTTATTAATATTAATAATAATAATATTAATATTTATTAATATTAATAATAATAATATTAATATTTATTAATATTAATATTAATATTTATTGTGTTCAATTGATTTTTAATGTCCGTTTTGACGGAAGAAATTAAGTTCTTAATTTAAACTATTGTAAATCGCAACGATAAAATTTTATTATTTTAATAAATATTAATATTAATATTTATATTAATATTTATTGAATTACAAATATTTTATACAATTTAATATAAATTAATTATGTATGAGTTAAAAACATATGGAGTTTAAAATATCTACAAAATTGTTAACAAATTTGTGTTTATTGGCATCGGCGAACTTCCTGCAATTTTTTTAAGGATCGCCAAAAGCCTAACTAGATAAGCGAATATGAAAATTTATTAGCTAGAAGGGCACGAGATATAATAAAAATTTTTAAATAATTTATAGAAATAACAACCAAATTTTATAGATAATTCCTACGATTATCAGTGATCTTGGGAAATATTATTTGTTGGACTACAAGTGCCAGGCTTAGAAATCATGCATGTCAAATTAGAAACGATGACTAATCGTGTTTTTCCCCAAGTAGCTAAGGCTGAACAAACTTTTGATGTTAATTTATTGTTTAAAATAGTTCATAATATTTATATTTTTATACAAAATTCTCTTTCCTATTCCATAATGCAGATTATTTTCATATGCTTAAACTATCATTGGGTAATAACAAAGTGGTTTTATTCCAGGCAAATCAATAATTAGTTATATTTTGGTAAGCAATTGAAAGGGTTGACTATAAGAAGCCAAGTAACAATTTTGGGACTGTTATTTAAATGAATTAACATCTTTTATGAACCCTGGTATTGTCAGGCCTATCTTTTCTTCAGTCTAGCGTTAGGATAAGTAATAAAACCAGTTAGATGTCAGCATAAACCGACATCTTCGTAAGATCCAAATCAGGTATAAAAAATCGTTTGTCATATGAAGCAGGTGGCATAAAAAATAGGCCCCCATATCAACGATGAAGAGATGAAGCATGTGGTGATATCGCCTTAAAATAAAAACATATAAAGCTGGTCAAGGAATCAGTATAGTGGGGTATAGAATTAGAGTGGTGCAATCTTTCATGTTTAAAAACTCACGCGAGTGACCACTTAAATCCAACAAAGATTTTTACAGTCAGTCTAGAATCTAAATCTGTGAATTCAGTAACCTTACCATAATATCTAAGCAAATGCTGTTAAAATGGTACAACTAGTATCAACGCATGAATCCGAATCCTTGCTATGCAGCATATAGCCTTAAGCTTAGTTTTATACTAAGGTCATAAGTACTATGAGCTAAGCTTAGTTTTATGCTATGATCATAAGCACTATAACCTTTCGCGTTCGTGAGAACAATTCTATGGAAGAAAGTTAGCACCAAAAGTAAGAAATGGAGATTTAAACGTAATCTTACAACGAATACTCATAAAAGGTTTAGAGTGAAAACTTGAAAGTTCTTAGAAAGATAAGATTTCACAGATATTCAAACAAAAATGCACCGATTTGCTTAGTAATTTGCTTAATAGCGTTTTTTATTATAAGGCAAGTCAAAGTTAAATGCTATTGAAACTAAATCTAGTAAGATTTACTAAACTTGTAATGGATCTGTTTTTTAAAAATGTTCTTTGATTGAGACTCTTGAAAAAAACAAGAAATCCGTTATGGAATATAAAAGCACTCTTCATGGAATAAAAAGAGAAACATATATTCGTATATATGAAATGAGTATTCTAAAAAATCTATTGCTAAAATAACAATTAATTTATAATTAAGTATTTTATGTACTACGGCAAGAATTCTATTTCGAATATAATGGGGACCCTCTTACCTTCTATTCGAAATAAATTTCAGGAGCGATAGGGTGAGATAAGAATACAGAAAAAATTTTCAAATCAAAAAAAAATTTTTTTTTCATGTGAATTCCTGGGCTCACCAAGAATTTAGATTAATTGTTCATATATAATTCTTGAACTACAAACGATTTACACTGTGAACAAATATGCATTATTTTCATTCTAAATATTGTCAAATTTTTTTTTTTGCTTATTCTTAAGCTACAATTGCTTTCACTGTGCTATTTTTAGAATTAACGTATAAACCATAGCTATAGAAATTTAATTAACTATTTTAATTTATGTTTTCAATTTATATAATAATCCTTGTGGAACATATTTGCTTTAGATCGGTGGTAATTCAAAGTTATAGCTGATCATCATTTAAAGTAAAATAGAATGTAAAGGCAAATTAAAAGAATGCCTACTGTTCAGCTTCAACACTGAAATAATCACTGAAATCAAATTTGTTTCTAAGTTAGAAGGGTTCGAATAGAAATGAAAAGACAACAACAAAAATTTTAGTTAATTTATTGACTATTATTTTTTTATGCGACCCTATGATCCACCTAGGAGTTAAAGGATTTAATATATATTGAAATATTGAAATATTGCTAAGGCCATCATCAGTGGTCTTAGTATACTCATTTCTATTCGAACCATTCTAACTTTTAAATAGTTGCTTATTGTCATAAGAAGCGTCACTTTCGGCAAGAAAAAATTAACATCAATAAATTTTTATTTCTTTTAGAAAGGAAATTTTTATAATGTGGTGACGTGATAATGTGATGACTTCAATAATGATTTTTATGATTAAAGTCATTATAAATTTGTACTTATGTATTATACAATATTCCATGCTAAGGGTTTTACATACAAATAAAAATAATACTATTAGATAGTATATACAATATGTTGCAATAGACAAATTTTCGTAGATACCATATAGTTATGTAAACTATTCAAATGCAATACGTCGGCATAACTGAAGTTACTTTACATCGCATCGCATCTAAAAAAGCAATTCAAGCGTTTTTAAGAAACAATTCTTCTGGTTTTTCTTTTTACTCATGATTAAAAAGATGGACCATCATTTGCGCTAACTCATAAGTAGTTCAATTGAAGATTTTCCTTCCGTGAAGACGTAAGACTTTAGTATTTAAGTGTGTAGAAATACTCACAATTACTCGTGATTCATCGGAGAGTAAAATTTTAATTATTTTTCACACAAAGCTATCTTTAATTATTTTGTATAATAATTTTCCCATGATCTGAATTGTTTAATTAAAACACAGTTTCCCAGAAACCTATTTTCTCTTATTTGGCATCCGAAATTGTTACATAAAAACAGGAACAATGTAGAAAAATTAAATTTTTTCATTTACGAACCAAGGTCAACAACAAATTTACTTGAATTTTTGCTTATTACATTAAAATTTCACCATAAAACAATAAAATAAATAAAAGATAAAAATTTCAGATATCAAAATTCATCAACGTCAATATTTTGTTCAAACATATCGCAACTATGTAAATGGCCGACGTGATAAAACTCAACTAAAAAGTTTTAACAACAACAACAACAACAACAACAACAGCACAGAAGTATCCGTATTGCATATCTTGTATCTTTCACCTGTGCATTGAGATGACAATGATATTGATATTTGCACAAAGCCAGCTAAGGAAAGGCCCTCCTATACATTTTTGCAAAGTAACTCGAAACCGGCATGAAATACGATTTTCGATGGGTAATATTTTTCACATGTTTTACAGCGCATAATAGTCACGTCACGTGCAGGCAAGCGAGAAATACATCAATGTTTCGGTAAATTTTGAATATAAAAGTTGAGTCAAAACAGGTCCATCGAACATACGAGTAGTGAAAATTTATAAAAAATTGTATTTAATAAAAGTACTTTAATTTAGACATTTGAAAATACTGAGATGGTTTTCTTTAATTGGTTTTCAATATATAGTATACCATAGTTTCAAAATACAATCGTATAGCAGAAATATATCCAAAAATAATATACTAAACAAGCAATACTTCAATGTTTTTTGACATATGCAATCATTTATATATCTATCTTTGTCATAGGA